GACTTTATGTTTTGTTGTTATTTTTTTATTCCGGCTGCATCATGTCCTTGTTGTTGTTGTTGTTGTTGTTGTTGTTGGTGTAGGTGGTTGAAGCTGTTCCCATACTGCCTGAAATCCCTCTGCCGGCCATTCAACCCTACTACAGACCACTGCCTTCCATAGACGTCACGCCGCTGTCACCCCTGAGACGTAAAGGTAACAGGACAGAGACATGACACTCAGTGGGAGGGGTTTAAAAAAAATACCCATACACTGATCTAAGGCGACAGCATCACACCACGTGTTGAACCCATGTGACGTTTTTTAAAGGTGAAGAATCAAACTCTGTTTGACTCTGTATCGTCTGTCCCTTCAGTCCCGGTCTGCAACGACGAGGACGACACCGGCTTCACGGGGAAACGCTTGAACTCCAAGATGGTGGTCTACTCCGGGTCCAAGACATCCTGCCTGCCCAAGATGACGTCTCTGTACGATCAGTGCATCCGCGTGCTGCAGAACAACATCGACTGTGAGTTCTAATGTCCCAGTGGGCTCAGCTGCAGCTCCGGGCCCAACCACTGCAGCCTGTGCACAAATGAACAGTTTGTCTCTGTTCTCTGTCAGCCATCGCCGAGGTGGGCGGAGTCCCGTTTGACATCCTGGAACCGGTTTTAGAGCGGTGTACGCCCGAGCAGCTTTACCGCATTGAACAGAGCAACCAGGTAACACACACACACACACACGCACACACACACACACACAAAACGCTGTCCATATCTATACACACACACACACACACACAACGCTGTCCATATCTATGTCTGTGGAACAAGTCAATATCACAACAATACACCCCCCCCCAGTGTTTCACCGAAGACTCTGACGAGCTGTGGAAGCGTCACTGTCAGCGGGACTTCAAAAGTGAAACTCCTCAGGAGTACGAGTCCTGGAGGGAGATGTACCTGAGGCTCCACGAGGAGCGCGAGGAGCGGCTGAGGATGCTCACCCAGAACATCTCCTCCGCACACGCAAACAAACCCAAAGGTCGGTGCAGCCTCACAGATGACCACCAGGGTGTTTATTCATGTACCATTCATCAGTCATATACATACCTATAATTAGCGTATCATTAGCACAGGTGTAGTAACACCTGTGCACACTGCAACAATTAAAGGCCTATAGACACGGTCAGAACACTTCACCAACCAATCAGCTTCATCATTCCAAATGTGACTTGTTCTCTTCAGCCTCTCATTTCCTCTCTCCTCACAGGGCGGCAGGTGAAGCTGGCGTACGTGAATTCTGCCGCCAAACCGCCTCGGGACATACGCCGCCGACAGGAGAAGTTTGGCACCAGCAGCGGTCTGTCCACAGCTGCCTCCACTGCGGCCGCAGCTCCGATCCAGTCGGTATTTTTATGGATGGTCTGATGGTGTGGTCCAGTCTGTAGACTGACAATCCCTCCTCTCTGTCTCTGTCCCCAGAATCAAACCAGTTAACAACTCAGAGTTCTCTGGTGAGTCCAGTACTTCCTCATTGTCCTCCAGTCAGCAGTCTTCATCCAGCTCCTCACGCCCCTCAGCTCTGAGCGGGGGAGGCAGAGGAGGAGGAAACATCGGCCGAGAAAAGCCGCAGGTCAAAAGTGAGTGATTCAGTGACTGTCTAAACTGTTGTGTGGTTGTTGTTCCCATGTATATAAAAATTCTAACCTGATTAATCACCTAATGAAGGCGTCAGTTTCCATAGCTGTTGTAATTTCTCTCTACTCCTGACGTTGACACAGGTGTGTGTGTGTGTGTGTGTGTGTGTGTTTGTGTGTGTGTGTTTGTGCTCCCTCCCTCAGAAATCGCCCCCATGATGGCCAAAACTATCAAAGCCTTCAAGAACAGATTCTCCCGACGGTAGTTGGAACCAAGGCTGGGGTTTTGTCACCAAATCGTCTGTGTTTTTGTTTTTATTTAAGTTGAGGAAACGATTTGACTGGATAAATCCTACACACACACACACACACACACACACACACCTGCACAACGGTACTGCAGCTGAACTTGACAGTATTGTTGAAAAATTATTTTAACTTTTTATTTAAGCTGTTTGACGTCTGACGGGGCGACATCGAATGAGTATTGAAATCATGACCAGAGAGTTTAAACGAGCGATTGCTCACGAGTAAAACGAGGAAATGATAAAAGGAATCCAGACGTGCAGCACGTCGAAGGACGCGAACGACATCGTTTTAACAGCAGTCTGATATTTTTTAGTAACTGCACCTTTTCAATGAAAGGTACTCGTCTGTAGCATGAGAGTTCAAAGGAAATAGGAGCTACATTGTTTAGCTTGACTTAGCTTGTCTTGTCTTGGTTTCACTTAGCTAAGCTTATCTTACTTAACTTGCCTTAGCTTAGCTCAGCTTGGCATAGGGACTCTGGGGGAAAAAAAAAGGAGTACCAGGGTAGCTGCCAGCTTTCTTCATAGAGAACTGAAACAACTGCACATCAAATGATTCAGTCCATGTTTGTTCAGCTTTGGCTCTTGACTGACTGATACTGATATGGACCGTAGTTTATTTTCAGGTATTTGTTAGGCCATCTTCACGGCAGCCATTTTGACATTATGTTACTGAAGACGGTCGTGTGTAACTGCAGCTGTTGTGGATGATGTTTGTTAGCTTGACGGACTTCAGACTGTTGATATTTTCCAAATCATGCAACGATTGGGTCCTAGACAGAACAAGAAATAACAGAATTCAGTGTACGTTCGCTGCAGAATCTTAGACTGTTTTCTCCATTTCAGCAACATTATAACAGCTGCATTTCACATGATTCATTCTAGGTGGGGTATAGAGACACACTACACTTGTGAGCTGCACTTTAACCTGAGGAAGATAGGTGGCGCTAGACCGTTCTTTTAACTGTTCATACCTGTTGTTTTCCACCAGCGTGATGTCAGAATGGCTGCTCATGCACAAAGATTAGTGTTGACGGAGTCTCGGTGCTATGCTAAGCTAACTAGCTGCTGTAGTGGCTTCGTATTTATTGCATTAACAGGGTTTTTAGCGGAACTGGCCTGAACCACAGCGTGTTCAAGCTGTGGTTCAGGTGTAACTGGTGCAGCAGTGATCCTGCCGCTCCACTGGAACCTTCTGGAAACAAGCAGTATACAGCATGCATGTTTTTCTCTTTCAGTTTATGTTTTTTTTGTCATTATTATTATTATTATTATTATGACAAAAACTCTACGATAGGAAGAAATCTCCACGTCTGAACTTGCCCTGGGTTTTTAATTCACATCAGTTCTTCCACACGCTGCAGACCGGGTGTCATGTATCTCTCAGCTTGGGGTTTTTTTTTGTTTTTTTTCTTTGTTTTTTTAACAGCAAACTCATGCGTGATTTAATCATGTTTGATTTAGTGAGTTTTTAATGTGTAGGTATTAAATGAAATCATCTGTGAATCTCACACACGTCAACGAGTTTTGTGGCTTCAGCGTATGCATCTCTGCTGTCAAATGTGTGTGTGTGTGTGTGAGTGAGTGTGTGTGTGTGTGTTGATTCCCTTCATGCTTTGCCACTGTGACAAACCACTTCATTCAGGACTCAAGGGATGAAGTAAAAACCAGGCATAAGGAAAAAAGGAAAACCTGTTGAAGCCCAGCTTCAGTCCACCACAGACCTTGACCACATGTATTTATTATTTTCAACACTGGGACCATAGACCCACAACTAAGGAAGTAGAAAAACTGTAATTTTATTAGATTTTAAAAATGTAATATGGTCATTTTTATTATTAAAATTGACTTTTTGCCCTCAAGTTGTTCCTGTTTTTGTTTGTTTGTTTGTTTGTTTATTGTCACTGTCGGTGTTGTCAGCTGTCACACGGAGCAGAGATTTTCCAAAGTAAAATTATTTGACAAAAAAACCCAAAAAAACTGTTACCCCTGCGACCAGGCCCCGGACAAGCTGACGATGACGGATGGATGGATAACTGGCGATATTAAATATTATATTTTGTATAAACCTAATATTTTATGGTCAGATTTTATTTTTGTAAATATTCTTTGTCCTGGGTCGAAAATGTCGAATACCAAAATAATTTAATTTTTGTTTAATAATTTTTGTTTGGTTTTGTGAGTTGTAACGAATTTACGACGTTTTTCACATTTGGCGACAGGAGGAGCGAGGCCACATCACGTGTTGGTGTTTTGTTTAGTAAGACCATCAAGTTACCGTAAAACCTCAGCAAATAAAACACCGGTACTCTGCCTTCCCTTTCAAAATAAACTAAACGTGATTCGATGTTTGGTTCCCGCCATGTGTATTTTCATCCGGAAATGGTTATTTTTTCAGTTGACGTTCAGTTCAGATTTTGACGTCACTGACGCTGCTTGACGGCACAAAGTGAAACTTGCTGATATCATTTTAGTGTATAAAACACCGCGGTCTCTCCGTGTTGTCAGCTATTCTGTGAGACATTACTAGCCACTTTCAGCTCCACGATGTCTGGCCACGGTCACGGACACGGCCACGGCCGAGGCTGCGGCTGTGCGGGGGAACACGAGCCTCCGGAGCGCGGCCTGGAGGACGATCTGTACGGACGGATCGACGTGGAGAAGATGCAGTGTCTGAACGAGAGCAGAGACGGAGACGGAAAACTGGTTTTTAAGCCGTGGGATCAGCGCAGCGACAGGGAAAAGGTAACAGTGGTAAACATCCTTAGTCCCGGCAAGTGGTGCTGAGTTAGTCCGCCGAGTGAGAACACGAACCGGAGCGATGGTCTGATGCTAACCTTACAAATACGATCAAAATAGTTTTTTATATATATATATTGACGAAGTAAATATGCTTAAAAACTTTATTAAATGGTTGTATCTTGAAAGGAAACGCAGGCAACGTTTTACTTAAGGCAACTCTCCCTTTCCCCGGCAGAGGGTGCTGTAAGCTCAGTTTTAGAAGCTTTGACACATGTAGCTTTCGGATAAAAACAAATTAAAACTATGTCTTAGATCAGACGTATCTGGGCCGATTTGTTGATGATACAGTAAAATGTGAGCGCCACCACCAGGTGAACACAGTGTTAATCTTCAAATGTGAATCTGTTTTGCAGTTTGTTGAAAGTGACACAGATGAGGAGCTGCTGTTCAACATCCCGTAAGTTCAGTCTTTTTTTTATCTCGTCTTTTTCACTGTATTCAATTTTCACCTTGACACTTGGTTATTTTTGTTAAATAATTAACTGTATTTATATAATAATTCATTTGTATTTTTTGAAGCTACTTTTTTTTTTTTTTTTAAGATTTTTGTCTTATTAGAATCTTTTGTGACATTGGATACTATGACTAAGGTTTATCTGCTGCATTACCTTATCTTCCCACACAGAGGCGAACTGTGTTAGCTGCCACTGCCCTGTTTGTTTTAATTGTTCAACACAGTCCCTGGAGTTTGGTCATCTGACTCAGTACTCTTTCACTTTTGCTCTGACAGTTGACGTTTTTCTTTCTCCTCGTCTTTCACCACCTCAGCGTCCTGCTAGCCTCTCACCCGAGGGACTTCCTGTCATGTTTGTGTAGCGTTATGACGCCGCGTCTCTCTCTTTCAGTTTTACCGGCAGCATCAAGCTGAAGGCCATCATTATCTCTGGAGAAGACGACGAGACCCACCCAGCAGAGATACGACTGTGAGTGTCTGCGTCTCCGACCGCGGTCCTCACACAGGACGACAACTGTACAATGTACAGACATATTTGCTCTATGCTGTGATTGATTTATTTTTAACCACAGGTACAAGAACATCCCTCAGATGTCCTTCGACGACACGGGCAGAGAACCTGAACAGGCCTTCAGACTGAACCGAGACCCTCGGGCTGAACTGGATTATCCCACAAAGTGAGACGCTCAACTGTAAATGCATTTCAAATTCAATTTGGTTCCTGCAAATTCACTCCAAGTTCCAATTTGGCTCTGAATGTGGCTGCTGGTCTGGAACTCACCGCTGCGATCGCAGTTGAAGTCAGACTGTGTCTGTGAGATGTTTCATCAAACTGCCACGAAGCCCGATGATGTCACGTGACATCATGAGCTGTGAACTGTTAATGAACTGTTAACGCACCATGAACGGTATCAGACCTGACTCCTGGTCTGGTTTCTGCCTCCGCCTCCTCCTGTTGTAGAGTCGTTCTCCAAACCTCGGGTCTAAAATGATTTTGTTGTTGATTCTCCAGGATTGCACGTTTCTCCAGTGTTCATCATCTCTCCATCCACATCTCCAAAAACTTTGGAGCCGAGAGCACCAGGGTCTACTACATCGGCCTGAGGGGCGAGTACACCAAGGTGGGCGTGAGGGGTCTGGGTGGAGGTCCTTTTGAAACCAAATCTGGGATGGATGATGGATGGATGGCTGAATGATGGATGGATGTTGGATGGATGTATTCTCCCTGATTGGTCCCACATCTTCATCACAGTGAACATGTCTGCTGCGTTCTCTCTGTTTTTCCAAAGGCTCACAGACATGAAGTAACGATTTGCAATTATGAGTCGGCAGCCAACCCTGCAGATCACAAGGTGGAGAGCATCATCCCGCAGACCAACTTCATTTCCTGAAAGCTTTGGATATTACTGAGGGAAGGAAGGGGACGGAGGAGATGGTGAGGGAGGAGGAAGAGGAGGAGGAGATGTTCCACTGGCTTCTGCAGACTTTGACTAATACCAGACAAATGGTCAAGAGACGAAACCTCAACACTGGACACTGGATGGTTGTCGGAGCTCGACCGGAACCGACCGAGGACCGGGACTGGTTGTCTGTCAGGACGACCTGAGATGTTGCTTTGTTTTCTATGGCAATAAAGATGAGAATTGTAAAAAGACGGCAATAAAAACCCTGAAAACTTTGTCACTTTTTTTTTCTTCTCGCACCAAACATCAAAGAGTTCTTTCAATGATGATGATAAATGTTGAAATAAAAAACTATTAAAATCCTGCTTTTATTCACATACAAAAAATATGTGTGTAAATTAAATTAACATGTTCAACAATGTGTGTGCACTTAAAGATAAAAGAAAATGTTTTATTAGTTAATTAGATGAAATAGTTTTAAATCTATTTGTTAATTAAAACACAATTAAAAACAATATTTAACCTGTCAGTTTTATTGACAACAATCAGTTATTTTAAGGTGTTATTTTCTTTTTTATTTAGAATATAAAAAATTATAAATATGTATAGTTAAAAACGTATGTCACTCACACGTTCATTCATATTTGCTTTGTTTTTGTTTCGTTTTGAGGCGAATAGTTCATTTTTTATGGTCATTTCTACCTTTTTTTGTTCATTACTACCTTTGTACAATTCTAATCATTAGGGGCGTGGCTATGAGTGTTCTGCGTCGTTACGTCACTACGCTCCGACTGCGGCGCACGCCCCGCCCCAGCCAGAACTCGGCCAGTAGCGGAAGTTCTGTTCCGTGGTGAACTGGGACAGTGAGAGGTGAGTGAATTATTTTGTTCCTGGATTGCGGGCCGTCGGTTTTTTATTTTATTTTTTTTACAGTTATTTCAACGATTTTTATTTTACGCATACCGTACCGCAATAGGTATATATAAAAAAAATCACCACATTTAGGTTTCAAATTTCAACGGCAATGTTAGCTTCAGCCGGGGATGAGACACCGGCAGACGGTCCGATTAATGTGAACGGGAACACGACGGCGACGTTAGCCGCATCAGCTCAGACACAACTACTGACCACGGTTACTGACCGTGTGTGTGAGTGTGTGTGTCGCTAAACCGGGATTAAACCGGACTGCGGAGGTTCAGTGTGTGTGTGTGTGTTTGTTGTTTGGGGGCAGCGGAGGCTTTGTTGAGCTGAATACCATCACAGGTTCAGTGATGAGGAGGAGGAGGAGGAGGAGGGAGATGATGATGATGATGATGATGGTCGTCAAAGACAGAAAAGCATTTATTGTCTCCTTCCTCATTCTCGTCCTCCCTACACCCGGTCTGAGCAGCAGCAGCAGCAGTGGTGGTGTTGGTCGGTGGTGTTGGTCGGTGGGTGGTGGAGGTGTTGTCACTCACTGCCGCATATGATCCTGTTTGCCAGCCAGTAACACACGGAGCAGAGAGTGCTGCAGCCTGCTCAGTGTGTGTGTGGAGCAGTTATTTTTTATTTTTTGTTTTTTGTTTTTTGCTGTACGTCCTCTCGAAGCCAAGAAGTTCTACTCTGCCCCATCTGACCAAATGTTCTTAGTCCTCGTCCTCTTCCTCTTTCTCTTCCTCCAGGCTGACCTCAGACCAGTTGTGGTCAGACCTGCTTCAGTTCTCTGACTCCGGAACTGTTAGGATTTTTTTGCTGCTCTTACAATTTAAAACGTTCTCCTTGTACTTGTAACCGTGAGGATGTGAAAGTGTAATTTAAATCAACTACACACTCTGAAAGTGACCGTGGAGATGAAAAAAAAAAAAAAATCAGGAAGTGTTCTGACGTAACTGTGACTTTAACTTGGAACCTTGAACCTTGTGAACAAATTGTGCCAAATGTGACAGGTAAATAGTGAGGGATTTTTTTTTAATGAGCAGATTTAGGAAGCTCCTGCTGGCTACCGGCGGTACTGCACCCCAGATTAAACTCTCAAGAAGCTGGGAGACTTACCTGCAATTTCTGGTCATGCAATACTATTGCATACAACTTAGGGGGCCTTTATGTGTGTGTGTGTGTGTGTGTGTACACAGGAGGTACACAGAGAAGGCTGCATTTATGCTCTTAATCTGTGTCTCAACCGCAGTACAGACATCCTGTTTGTGTAGTTTCTGGTCGTGACTTAAATGTAATTCAAGTCATTCAAAATGGAGACTCGTGATGAGCTTTGAGTACGGCTGCCAGCCACACACACACACACACACACACACACAGGCCCCCCCTCCTCTTCCTCCCCATCTTCTTTTATGTCAAACTAATTCAACACTGACAGTATGTTATTGACTCAGAGTCATCTGATCATCTGATGTTCCAAAAGTGTCATTTGGTTCTTTTTCAGCTAAAATGTCAATAAACTGCTGCACAGCAAAAAACAAACTAGACCACCAGGGGGCACTGATCGTACCGTCGGAGCCGGTGCCACTAGGCGTCTGTCAACAACTTTAAGACACGACGTCTCCTCTTCTACAAGAAACAGCACATACCATAAACATATATTTTATATGTTTGCACAGCAACTGATATGAGAGTAAATTTATGAACATATATTTTATATGTTTGCACAGCAACTGATATGAGAGCAAATTTATGGCACACACACACACACACACTCACACACCCGTGTCTCCCTGCCTGGCCTTGGACTTCCACCACAGGGGTCATCTGTTGGAGTTTGTCCTGGTGTGACCCGACCTGGGACTTGGAAATCAGTTGGTATTAAACCCCACATCCTCTAGGTGGCAGGCCATGCCACACATGTAGCAGCAATTTAAAAAGAAACGCTAAAAAAAGATTTTAGGAATTTTCTTATCAGGTAGATTTTATAAACCACCGAAGAAAAGACGGCGAGCGTCGTACAGGACGGACAGTCAAGTCACATTTATTCATACATCACATTTTAAAAAACAACATTAGCGCCCTTGTTGTATCGGTTTTTTTTTAGGTTATTTGCCATCGCTCCGTTGTTTAAAATAGCGCGACAGTTCAACAGCAGGGCATCGGCGCTAGCACAGTCACACTGCTGCTGACACGCTGCACTTACAGGCGTCCTCGCTCTCCTGCTGTGTCGTACATTATTTTGGGAAACGGGCCAATGAATGGGTGTTTCGACAGCGTCGACAGACTCACTTCCAGAATGAACGCTTGTTTTTCCTCTCGATGGCCTGGATCAGGGCTCGATTGTCAGCCTGCAGTTTGGAGGTCTCCGCCTTCAGGCTCATGCACTCCTGTCGGAGGTCTTCGAGTTTCCAGATGTGCTCCCTCTGTAGTTGGACAATGTCGTACTCGGTCTGTTTGACCAGCTTTTTATGGTTGTCACTTTGTGTCTCTAACGCTACGGAGAGTCTAAACGTTTCTTCTCTCAGAGTTCCATTGACCTCCTTCTCCGCCTGAAGATGGTGGCGGAGCTCACTGTTGAGGTTCTCTAGATCCTTCAGCTTGTCAGCGGTGGACATCTTCAGTGTCTCCGTTTCTTCCAGGAAGACATCCGTCTGTCTCTGCAGGTGGAGGCCCTGCTGTAGGGTCAAGGACTGCTCCTTCTTCAGCTCGTCCATCAGAGACTCTTTGTCTTTCCGTAGAGACTGATTCTTTTTGATCTCCGCCTTCATGTTGGTAAAAAGCCTGTCAATCAAGGCTTGGCGCTCGTGACCGAGCTCCACCTCGGCCTGAAGTTTAGTAAAAAACTCATTGTTGGCTTCTCTCAAGGCCTCCATGTCCTTGTGAAGAGTCTGGGTGTAAACACTGGACTGTATTCGACTGTCACGGGCGTCTTGATGCACATCCTTCTCCTTCTCCAGCTGCTCCTGCAACTGTATTCTCAAGTTCCGCTCTTGCTGCAGTTTAGCCGCATCGTTCTCTCTCTGTTTGGACAAAGTTTTGCTCTTGTCTGCCTGTGTCTCCAGAGCAGCCGAGAGCCTGGAGGTTTCTCCTCCGAGGGTTTCATTGATGATCTTCTCATGCTCCAGTTTGTGGCTGAGTTCAGAGATAACGTTCTGAAGACTCTTCAGTTTCTTGGTGGTAGACTCCTCCAGTGCCTTGGACTCCTGGAGATGGACGTCTTTCTGCTCCTGCAGTTCATCCTTCAGCCTTTGTCTCCAATTCAGCTCCTTCTCCAGCTCCATAGCGAGACATTCTTTTTCTTGTACCAGTAACTCGTTCTTCTTGTTCTCCATCTCAAGTTTGTTCGAAAGACTCTCAGTTACCTTTTTGTGGGCATTCAACTCAGCATCTAGCGCCCTCTGGTGCTCAAGTTTCTCTTTCTCCAGCTGATTTTGTATCTCCAGTCTCCAGCTCTTGTCTTCCATTTTGGCCCTGTCGTATGTTCTCCGCTCTGTCTCCAAAGTAATAGAGAGTCTGGAACATTCTCCTCTGAGCGTTTCGTTGACATTCTTCTCATGATGGAGGTTGGTTTTAAGCTCAGAGATGACTTTTTCCAGGCTTTTCAGCTTCTCGGAGGAAGACGTCTTCAGAACTTCATGGGCATCTTTGTGTTTTTGCAGATCGCGCTCCAGCTGTAGTTTCCAGGTCTCCTCCTTCTCCAGCTCCATGGCCAGGCTGTCATTCTCTTTTGCCAAACAGTTGTTCTTCTTTGTCTCCGTCTCCAACGCGGTTGAGAGTTTGTCAGCCAACGCCTGAGAGTGGCGCCGTAGACCCTCCTCAGCGCCGAGTCTGGTGCTAAGCTGCTGGTTGACTTTGCTGAGAGACTCCAGTTCCTGGCGGAGCGCTTCAGTCTCTTTGCTGGTTTGCTCCAGTGCTTTCTGGTGAGCCAGCTTCTCGCTCTCAAGCACCCCCTGTAGGATTTCAAGTGCAACTGAATGTCTCGTTGCGCCTTCTTTCAGAGTTTCATTGTTTCTCTTCTCTTGTTGGAGGTTTTGGTCAAGCTCAGAGATCAGATTTTCTAGCCTATCAATTTTTTCAGTAGTGGACTTCTTCAACGCCTTGTACTCCTGCAGGTACGCGTCCTTTTCTTTCTGCAGCCCCTCGAACAGCTGGTTCCTCAGTTTCTGCTCCTTCTCCAGCTCAGTGATTAAAGAAGCCTTCTCTTCTGTCAAAGCCTGCGACTTACACATGAGGTCTTCCTCAACACGAGGTTTTGTGAGTAGCCCTTGATTTGCTTTTTCTCGGATCTCCAATTCCTGTGGGAGAGCCTTGGTGTTATTGCTGTACTCTGCCAGTGCGTCGAGGGCCTCCTGATTGACGAGCCGTTGCTTCTCCAGCTGATTTTGCAAGTCCAGCCTCCAGTTGTGCTCCTTTTGTAGTCTAGCCAAGTCGTACTCCCGTTGTATGGACAAGTTTTTGTTGTTTTTAATCTGTGTCTCCAGTGCCGTGGAGAGTTTGGAAGCCTCTGATCTCATGTTTTCGCTCACACCTTTCTGAGTTCGGAGGTTTTGGTTTAGAACCGAGTTGAGCTTTTCCAGACTGTCTAGTTTGTCGGCGGTGGTTTTATTCAGTACCTCGTATTCCCGCAGCTCAGCACCCACCTGTTCAAGCTCAGCTTTTAAGGACTGGTTTTCTTTGGTCAGATTTTCATTGCATTTGGTCTCAGTCTCCGTTGCAGTTGGCAGACTGTCACCGAGAGCCTTACAGTCGCATCTGGCGTTTTTCTCAACTGTGAGTTTGTTGGTCAGCTGTTGGTTGGCTTCTCTTAGTGACTCCAGCTCCTGACGCAGAGTCTCTGTCTCTTTGCTGGACTCCGACAGAGTCTCAAGCGCCCGCTGATGGTCGAGTCTCTCTTTCTCCAGCTGATTTTGTAACGCCAGTCTCCAGCTCTGCTCCTGTTGTTTGGTCTTGTCGTTCTCTCGCTCTCTTGTTTCTAGTGCAATAGAGAGTTCCGAAATGTCTTTTCTGAGAGTGTCGTTGACGGCCTTTTCTTGCTGAATATCATGGTTGAGCTCAGAGACCTGATTCTTGGATTTCCTCAGTGCCTCAGATTCCTGCAGACGATCAGTCATCTGTTTTTGAAGCCCAGCGCCCAACTGTTGTCTCCAGATCTGCTCCTTCTCCAGTTCCTTCGTCAAGTACTCGTTTTCTTTGATCAAACAATCGTTTTTTTGGGTCTCAGTCTCTAGTGCGGTTGTCAGCCTCTCACTTAGAGCCTGAGCGTTGCACCGGATATCTTCCCCAACCTGGATTTGGCAGGCAAGCTGCTTATTGGTTCCTTTTAAAACTTCCAATTCCTGATGGAGAGCCTCCGTCTCGCTGCTGGACTCTGACAAAGCCTTGAGCGCCTCCTCTTGTGCGAGCTTTTCCCGCTCCAGTTGATTTTGTAGAGCCTGTCTCCAGCTCTGCTCGTTCTGTATTTTGGCGTTATCGTATTCTCTCCGCTTGGAAAGATTTTTGTTATTTTCAATTTGTGCCTCTAGCGCAGTCGAGAGTCTCGCGGTTTCTTCTTTGAGACTTTGGTTGACGTCCTTCTCGGTCTGTAGGTTGCACTTTAGCTCAGAATTGACTTTTACCAAGCTGTCGAGTTTTTCTGCTGTAGATTTTTTCATTGCCTCGTTTTCTTGCATATGAGCATCTTTTTGTTTCTGTAGTTCATCATCCAACGTTGTTCTCCTGGTCCGCTCCTTTTCTAGCTCAGCAGTCAAGCACTCTTTCTCGTTTGTCAGGAACTCGTTATTTTTGACTTCGGTCTCCAGCTTGGTAGAAAGCCTGTCAGACAGAGACTGGTAGTTGTGTCGGAGATCCTCCTCAGCCTGGAGCTTGGTGGCGAGCTGCTGATTGGCTTCTTTGGTGACCTCCAGTTCTTGGCGAAGAGCCTCAGTCACCTCGGTGGACTGTTTCATGTCCTCAAAGGTCCGCTGATGGTCATGCCTCTGCCTCTCCAGCTGATTCTGTAGCTCCAGTCTCCAGCTCTGCACGATATTTTTGTTCCTCTCAATCTGTGTGTCAAGTAAGAAGGACAGTCTGGACACTTCTCCTTTGAGTGTTGCATTGGTGTCTTTCTCTTTCTGGATGTTGCTGTTGAGATAAGACATTACTTTCTCCACACCTTCGAGCTTCTGTTTAAGAACGTCCAACTCTACTGTGAGGGAATCGTTCTTTTTGGTCTCCGTCTCCAGACTGGCAGAGAGCGCGTTGTGAAGCGCCAGGGAGTTGCATTTGAGGTCTTCCTCAACGTGGAGTTTGGTAGTAAGTTGGTGGTTTGCTTCCTTCAGGGCCTCCAGCTCCCGGCGTAGAAGCTCCGTCCTATCATCGGACTGTTTCAAAGCTGCCAGGGCCTCCTGATTAGCTGTCTCCTGTTTTTCCAACTGCTGGCTCACCTGCAGCCTCCAGGTCTGCTCCTCCTCTAACCTGGCTGTCAGAGATTCCTTCTCCTTCTCCAGATACTCCATCCTTTCTGTGTTCTGAGCCATCAGGTTTTTATAGCTGACGTCCTGCTCCTGGAGTTCGTCGGTGAGCTCCAGCTCCCACTCCTTCCAAAGGTCCTCGAGCTGGAGCTTCTGAGCATCCTTGAGTCCATGCAGGTCGGCCTGCAAGAGGTCGACGCCGTTGTCCAGATCATCTATCATGTCATTGCACCGTTTCAGACATCGTTGATTTTCACTCTCACCAGTCGACTCTCTAATGTCCATGTTCTTAGTCAGTATTTGATTTGTTGTTAACTTTATTCTTCTGATTAGTTCACAACCATGATGTCACTTCCTCTTGGCTACTGATTTGCTTGTTACCTCGAGGAAACTCTGGAGTTGTACGCCCACAAGTCAGTTCTTTCAAGTCTACAAAGACAGAGATGACATCATATCCTCCTTTGAACATCGAGTGCCTGGTTTGTTGTGTTGTTGAGAGAAAGTTGTCTTCTGAAGGTCAGATGTTCCTTTCTTGGCCTTCAGTTCCTTCTAGCTTTTTGTTATCTTCTGAAGGTCAGATGTTCCTTTCTTGTCCGTCAGTAGCCTCTAGCTTTTTGTTGGTGACAGCATTAGTATTCATTCATTCATCTTCTGTTGACGGGGTTGAACCAATGGGCTGTAACGCAGAATGTTTTTGTCAAACTTCATCTTTCGTTCTGAACCATACTGCGGAAAAACAGATCGTCAATCCTCAGAAATAGAAATAGACGTCCCTTCGCTCTGATGCCTGGGGGTTGAAGACATATGGATGACACCTGCAGTCAGACGTCTCCCTGGAACATCTTCACCCTCTCTTCCAGTGTCCCACTTAGGAAAGAGCATCGACGCAGCGCTGCAGACGGATCGGCCCGTCGCACAGTCAGTTGGAGCAATCAATTATTTGTGAATTTATCAATTTATCAGTGTCAGAAAATAACCGCCCGTCCGACCTGCGGAGAAATAATGGGCAACAAAAAGTCATTGGTTTTTCTGTAAACGGAGCCGCATTATCGAGAGCAGGTGAAGGAGGATTCAAATAAAAGGTTTAAAAAGCAATTACCAATAAATAAACATCATTATTATTATTATTATTACCAAAGGCCAAAAATCATCTATTTTTTTGAGTCGGTTTACTGATTCGACTCGTATGGGACTTGAACCCACAGCTCCTTTGATCTGCCCCCTCATGACAAGGGTTTTGGAGGTTTTCTTTTTTTTTTTAAATCTGAATTGCAGAAACACATTATTTTGCGATCGGCAGGATTGTCCTACAGCGAACATCTTCGTGTCACCTAACGCTAAGCCTTTCTGTGTCCAAGATATTTTCACATTTCATTTTAGGCAAATTACGGCGGTTCTGAGGTTCTTGGGCTTAAGGTTCAATTCCTGACTTAAATATTAGGTCATTGTCAATGACAAGTAAAGTAGAAAAAAATCAACTTGAGAATGATAAAATATATTTTGATCATATCGTTTTCTCTCCCTGACCCTGACCCTGACCCTGACCCTGACCCTGACAAAGGAACGTTCAGTGGATTTGGTCAGAGTTTCTCTGGAGCTCATTTGGTTTAAAAAAAGCCGACTACGTTTGTCATGTGCCTAAACATCTGCGCGTCTGTTGTCGTCCTCTGCTCCTTCTCAACTCTTGATTCATCTGACGATTACACAAACAGTGATGATTGGTCTGTGTTGAAGTGATAATTCATGTAGCCCGACTTCTCACCGTCGTCTGCTTCCCCTCTGCTTCCAGCACCTCTTGACAGTGTATGTGTGGCAACAACATGTCTGTGCCGCTGCTCACTGAGGCTGTGACGGTGTCAGGGACGGAGAAGGAGACGGCAGCGGTGAGTGATGGACCCCTCTCTCTCTCTCTCTCTCTCTCTCTCTCTCTCTCTCTCTCTCTCGCCCCCACCGGGTGGGGCTTTTTTT